CCCCAAAACCCCAAAACCCCAAAACCCCTAAATTAGATATTAACGGAAATTAAGTAGATTTGAAATTATTATAGTAATTGACAATTTAATTAAAGACCTCAAATTTTATTATGATGACATAAACAATCTCTCTCAACCTTGAAGATATTTAAACTACCTTCAGAAAACGTATGAGAGGATTTTTGAACATCAAACAATTTCCCAAAGTACCTCTTCTAAGCAATAAGTTCCCTAATAACTTATTGATTTTTAAATATCCTCCTGTCCCAATTCCATTTATATATCTGACTAGGCTTGAGCGAAGTAATTTTAGATATTTCTAAAATTTTATTCCTTGCCCAGTAAGGATTTTTCGAATATTCTTCGTTTAGAATTTTTATGTGTGCTTATAGTTTTCTATGTCTTCTTCTATTTCTGAAGGATTAGAATCTCTCGTTTAAATTGATTTCATCAATTTTTTATTGATCTGACATTCTATTGCTTTGCAAATTTGATATTTTTTTGTGAATTTGTTTACTTTAAGCTCTTATCTAGTTTCCTATTTGATATTACTTCTATTTATTTCTTTAATAGATGCTTTGAGAAGAATCTAAACAGCTTTAGGATTAATCAAAGCACTCAGTGATTGTATCGCTTGAACATTCAAAATCATCAAAATGATCATTGCTGAATAGTTTTCGAGATAAGTTGAGATAATTTTAACTAATTGGAGATGTTACCATCGAAATCAATGGTGAAACTATCAAGGAGATTTCTTAGTCTATTTCATTTTAAATCCATAGCTTTTCCTCATTAAAATTAAACGACTTTATTCCTGTCAGCTAGTCAAGAGTAGCTGAAGTGATAGAAGACTCTGATTGCCCTATTGACTTTTAGTTGTCAATCAATGAGGGTATATGTGGTTATTAGTCTTTTTCACATAAAGTTGTTTCGCTGCAAAACTTCATTCTCTAGTATCAATAATGCTAATACTTTAAAATAATAATTACTCATAGCGAATCCAAAAATGAATGAGTATGATCAGAAGTTAAGCTAATTTAAAATAATTTCAAAATTATTATTTAATATACACTAACTCATAGCTAAGTCTAATTATCGCAATTGGGGTTTTGGGGTTTTGGGGTTTTGGGG